TATTTTAAATCGCGATTATGGCTTGCAACGATTATGAAAACAACGTAATCTAACGATTTTTTTTTTTTTGGGGTTTCTCAGTTGAATTATATTTCAAGTTCAGGGTAATCAACTGTTAAAAACATACTGTTCACATTTTTTTCACTCCAATAAATGGATGTTTTCAAAGTCAATGAATAATCACATTTACAATTATTTACCTAAATAGTGGAGATTATGATTTTTGCCGTAATCGAGCAGCCCTACTGCAGGTGCTGATCTCTCTCACGTCCGGTTATACTTCACTCGCGTTTATGTCCAAATCCATCAGATCTAGCGGATGATATGGCTACTGCCATTCCCTACACGCAGACTCACGCAGACTCAAACCTCATCTTAGGCCCAAATGCGATCCGCAGTTACCCCGTTGCAAGGTGCCGGTGAGTTGACGTGTGCTACCCCCCCCCGCCAACGCTCGCGACACGTGAGTGGCCAGCCTAAACAACAATAAGCGCTGCTTGGCAACCGTGTGTGGCGGCAAAGTACAAAGACATTTTGACAGGAGAGATTTAGTTTTGCCGGTATTCAGCATATTTTACCGGTCATAGTCCGGTAATCATTTACACTAACGGAGAGTCCTACACAACATACGTCAAAACCAAGTTATGTTTTAAGCATGAAAGCTGTAGGCCTATAGCTGTCAACTGTTCAAACTGTGATCACCAGTTCAATACATTTGACAAATTCGACTTGGTTTCTACACTTATTTGAACATGTATTTTTTTTATTGCTTTAAACATTTTCCCCCCCAACGTTTTTTTGGTGGTCGAATTTTCATTTGCTTTCAAATTCCCATCCCTAATCTGTACCGTTGCGTTTTTTGCAGTAAGACTTACCTTTGCTGTTCTCATCTTCTCCCGTCTCCTCTTCTTCCACATCTTCAACATCCTCCATATCTGCCGGGTCCATCTCAGGCTGGTCTTTGCTGCAGGGAGACAGGTCATTGTTACACAGGTGGCATGTTTAGGGTTCTTCTTTCAGTGGATTTGAGCACCTTGCATGCTGTTTGGACGCGTGACCAAGCAATGAACTCTTTACTTATGGCTGGCTGGCTTCAACTATCCCAGACAAATGTACAACTGGATCTTCAAAGAACGGTCATCAAACGTGAATCTATGCAACAGCTGCAGCATGTCTTCCTCAAGGTCACTTCAGTCTGTAATCGAGGGGTAGTTGTCATGTCTTTAAGAGGCCGTGCAGGAGAGATCATGAATGTATACGACAGCTGACACAGCATAGATACTCATCCTCCTGACAATCTGCACAACAATATTCAAATCAATGACCGACTGAGAGAGACTGCGTCCTTTTCTTGATGCAGTGATGTTACGATCTGCTACTCAGATGTTAGGCTCTGAGTTTTGGCGTGGCATCCGAAACAGCCCTAACCTTGATCAAGTGGTGCAGTGATTACATATTTGTAGGCTATCAACAATTGGAATTGCAAGAGAGCCTCAGCGTCAAAAAGCACACGTGAACTTTTCCATGAGATATCGGAAAATTAGATGTGTTGAAATTGCACATTAATGATACTTAAAATGTTTAGTTCAGCATTATACGTTTAGTTCAGCATTATAATCTCCACACATTTACCCCAGTGTGATTTTGGAAGCGTAAAGACAATCGCTAAAAGCAAACGTTACGCTGTAAAGGAACTACAGCACGGTCACATAACCACTGCTAAGCTAAAGGCGGCTAATGTTGTGAATGAAGATTTTAAGTCTTCTCATTTAGACACCGTATTTCAGTCCTCAAATAGAAGATGCATTTAACCATAAGTGGTCAAATGCTAACTCATTCCCAGGTTTGAGGCCTCCTGTGACTAAAGGAACATCAGTAAGATCCAAAAGAGGCGGGAACATCATGATGCGTTAAAGGTCCTTTCAGTAAGAAAAGTGGATATTGGGCAAAGGTCAATTATAACATTACCACGATGTGACTGATAATCGCTCAAATAATTTAAGTAAAATATGACTTCAGGCGAGTTAAATATGGAAAAGATACGATAACATGAAACCCTCTTTCATCGTGTTGACCTGGGCCAGTTCAGAGATACCACAGCAGGTGATTTCCTCTCATCTGTCATCTCTCATCTGTCACAAGCATTCGGCTGAAAGAGACAGGTGGCGTTGATGTCAAGTGTTTGACACGTCGCTGGAGGAAGATGTACTTACTTGTCGATGTCTGCCATTTCAGCTGAGTCTCGAGTGATGCTAAGGAGAGAGGAGGAGGAGAAGAAGTAATACGTTTAGAAACACTGGATCATTTTTTCATGGCTTTGTTGTTTGAGTTATATTGAGAAGCATTTTTTTTAATTTTTTTTATAATTGTTTTTGGTTTCGTTAGTGTGGGCATGTGCGGGTTGAGGGAGGGAGGGGGGAGTGTAGTGAGTGTACTGTGATATTACCATCTATGAAATGGCATCGATTATTGTACACTATAATGAAATAAAAACACTGGATAACATTCATATCCATGTGGTTTTTAAATTACATTTCAGGGTCACCGTCATAGCATTAGCAAATCAATCCTGATGCTAATTATAGGATGCTTAAATCATAACGGAGGTGATGTTTAAGTTTTCTTATCGAGTCCACAGAAGGTTTTTTTTTGTAGTTTAGTGCTAAAACACTTACATATGACACAGCTAGCATCCTAATGGACTTCTTTAAAATAAGGTCCGATCTGTTTAATACACATTTTGTTGGTTCACCTTCAATCTTACATCTTCTACTGGTAATCATTAGAAACCGGTCATTAAAGATTAATCTTTATGGGTCCATTTATAGATTGTTCAGCTCTGTTGCCCAGTCATGATCCTATACCCACAAACATATTGCTGTACGTGCAATCCCACTAAGAAGGAAATGCATAAAACATGGATATAAAAAGAACCCTATGCAGCAGATGAGCTGAACTCAAACCTAGCCAACAGCTGAAGACGATCATTATTGACATTGTTTTAATAAACGGCAGCTTTGACATTGATATCAGCGATACAGAAACATTAAAAAATGCAAGCTGAACCAAAATAAAAAGTCTTCCTGGTGCTAAGAGAGTTTAAAAGTTTCTCCAGGAATTTTCCACAAAAGCATGCAATAAATATTTCAGTTCAAACCCTTTTGTAGTCATGCATTAAACGCAGATAATATTATATTAGTAGCGCTTCTTAATCCCCATAGTGTGCCATCTTTTGCGTCTCTTTCTTGTTGAATGCCTGACAGCTGTACATGTTGAAGTGGATTTAAGTTGCATCTAGTTGAGGGTTAGGCCATAACTTCTTCCTAAGGAATCACAATGTATATGTAGTATATTATGTCGTCATTGTATTACAAAATAACTCGAGGCAAGCTGTACTTAAAGTCAAATACGTTTATAAAGACTCACTCTGTTAAACGCCATGCATCACTATAGAAAGACAGGTCTTTTGAATGTTGATAAATGGAAGTTGACAAACAATTATTTTACAAAACCCCCCGTTTCTGCCGCTACTTGGACTATTCCACATCGCCTTCTAACAGAAACATTAATCAAAGTGTTGATCTAATTTAAGAACATTTAATAAGTGTCAATTCATGATTTATAGTATTAAATAATTGTGATTTCATGAGAGAACTCTGACAATTATGAAACATTTTTTTGTAGAGGAAGCTTTTAACTCTTAAACTATCAACTTGGGACCCTCGCCGGTGCTTTTATCTCATCATTTGCCAATCAATTTGTTTCTAAAAAAACGTTAGGTTCCCTTTTTTGTTTTGGATAGTAAGTGTAAATACTTATGTATAGGGCTCGTGGGGGAAGCCATACACATATGTCCTCAGTCTATAATAATATGCAAATGTCCTGTAATTTCCTTAAAAGATGATATGTATGTCTTTAGATGACATTACATAACTAATCTTCTGTATTATGTGGCCTACATTCAGCGATGATGCTGAACTACAGAGCTGATGTGACAGCTGACGTTATTCTCCTTCATGCCAAATTATTGATGGAGAAAGCTTTTGGCTGCAGCACACTTAAAAGAAATGTCATGTATCTCTGTTTCAAGGTGGGTTATATTATTGCTTTTTAATTAAGGACAGCATGATTGCAGTTTAACAATGTATTAACTGTGAGACCAGGCTCCAGCATTTCAATCAATGTACATGTCGTAAGTTGTCATAATCATCTAAAAAGCTAAGAGGATTACATTCAAGAGACATGTTTAATAGACAAGGATTGAGCTTAAAATGTTCAGTTTGCAATATTACTGCAATAGAAAAGAGTATTTTAATCATCTCACACGCGTCACAAAAGCCAATAATTACCAAATAGCTACTGGACAATTAATTAAATTGAGATACCTCACTTTATTTCAGACAGTACATGTATTTAATACCTTAAGTTCCACCTGGGGCTACCCTGCAGTATACAAAGTCATTCAAACTAGCTTTTACTTGTAACACAGTATTCCTGCACTCAATTGTCAATTTAACTTACAAAAGGATGTTTAAATCCTCTCACACCTGTCACAAAAAGCCAACAATTACCAACTAGCCTCTGGGCAATTCTTTTTTTCCTAGAACTGAAATGCATGTGTTACAGACTTTCTTTTTCTTTTTTACTTTCTGGCACATGCCTTTCTCTCCTGATCCTGACCAGCGACCACGTGTTGCATACTCAGGTCTAGCAAACCCATCAATGACTACCAAACCTCCCCTTGTGGATGCCTGTCTGTCTGCACACTGGAGCCACATGTGTAAACTTCATTTGGATCAAAACCTGTCACGTTTACAGTCCCACGTCAAACAATAAAAGTAGCATTTGGTTCCTGCCAAAACAGGCTAGTAACAAGCTAGTAAACAGGCTAACTTTAGCCGGCCTACCCGGTATTGTCAATGCTTCAATGGGCTACTTAAGCTAGCGTATGTGCTGCTAGCTTTATACGCACTATTTGGGCTGTTTAAGTGGAAAGAACAGCATCGAAAAACAATGGAAGATGATATAATATCATTCAGTAAGTACTTAGGTTATAAGCATTAAACAGTGCGAATAATGTGTTTAGCTCCCTTAAGCCTAGTCTCCATCCCCACCCTGTTATCATCCTGCAAAAAAAAAATTAAGGTCAAGTCCTAAAAGACACAAAACACGTGTCAACAAATATCCACATTAACGGCCATTAACTGACGTTATGTCGACTGTTTAAAAGCACTGATTGTCATAGCAACCCAACGGTAACGGTTATGAATTATAGCCGGGTTTTTTTTTTGTAATCGCATAATGGTGGAGCCTCAATGGCTGCTGTCTGACTTCACTAGAGGAGGGGGGGGAAAGCGGCCTTTCTCTTCCGCCTTTCCGTTAAAGGCAGTAAATGTACCGTGTGAAACCCCGCACACGGTTCGGGGTGCTGTCCCCGGAGCTCGTTATCGGGTAGCGAGTCTCTTACCTTCGCTGTGTGACCGGAGGTGGTGAAGCGGGGCTGCGCAGTGATGAGGTCCCGGTGGAAGAAAGACACTCCGCTCCGATGGCGGTAAAAGGGAGAGAGATCCCGCCGCTTGCGCTCATATATATCCGACGTCATCACGTAAACCGGCAGTCACCGTGGCAACACTGCAAAAGGGGAGGGGCGGAGATGAGGTGCCCCAAAAAGGGGAAAGTAAGGGATGAGGGACCACCACCATCATCACGATTAAATCCTCCTCTTCATCACCATATTAATTATTAATTACACCGTTTCTTTTGTATATTTAAATTTGGTGTAAATACTTGTCTTTATTTATTTTTTAATGTTAAACCGTTTTTTTTTACATTTTCTTTTTATTATCGTTATATTTCTGACCTTCTCCTTCAACTTATTTACTTATGTTGTTAATGTTTGCACCAACATACACCAAATCTAATCCCTTATATGTGTAAACGTACCTGGCAATACGCTTAATTCTGATTCTGATGTTTCCTTGTTTAGCTGATGCTCAAAAAACTCTTAATAAAAGTTATTATTATTTATTTGTATTGTTGCTGTTGAATTACTTACCGCTTGAAACAAAGAACCCCGTTTCCCCGCGGTCAAACTTCTTAAAACGTGTTAATACTGTAGGTTTTAGCGGAGTAGCCTATTTAATCTGTTTTTATTGGTTTATGTATAACCTGTGAACAAGTTGACACTGTTTAAAATACACTTAATTGATGGCTTGTGACTTTTTAGTACAACTATTTATATCACATAATTTGTCAACCATCTTTCTTTTCCCCCCGCTTCCACATCATCAATGTCCTAGTCATTTTTAGTATTGAACTAGTTCAAACCTCATGTTCATGTCAATTCAAATCAGTTTCTTTGTTTAGCCCAATATCACAAATCAGACAATTTCCTAATGAGGCTTTACAATAATTACAATATACAACACTGGACTACTTAACGACTAGTTTAATTGTTCAAAAATAACCAAATAAAAAGTAGTACATGAAGTGAAAATAATTATACTTTGTGAAAGTGATTGTACACATGTGTATTTTATTGCATACTCATTTTGTGAATGTACATGTCGATTCATCTTTCAAGAAGTGTCACATTTTTTGACAACGTTTTAAATAACAAGTAAGCACCTTCTCTGAACAGAATCCCCTCCTCTGAGTTTGCAGTTATGGCGGCAGATCACTGTCAGCAGGATATCTGATGAGCTTCAAACTGAACATGGATCCTGAGAGCGACAGTATTTAAATTTCACTGAAGTGCACCAAGCAGAAGTCAGAAAACAGACACTGATCTGAGACCTGCTGCAGGGATAAGAACCAGGTTCCAATTAACAATGCAACAGATTCTAGGCTCAAAATGTCATAGTGGGGTTTGTGTTTGGACCCTTAGCACTGCCACCAACTTTCCACTGCTTATGAGAACTATTAATCATTTTGAGCAGGGTAAAAGTGAATGAGAAACATTCAATGTCTGTAAAAACTCATTAAGTCAGTGGATAACCGAGAATTAGAAAACTGTAAACGATCATCATTAGAAAACTGCACTAAAATTGGTTGGCAGGTCGTGATTATTACTTAATTTCTAAATGTATTTAAGGAGAATTACTCTGAAATGCAAACTTTATTTACATTTTTAATTACAGAGTTTTTATTTTAGTAGCAACAGGGCATCATGCAATTGATTTCCCATGAGAATTTTTCAGGTTAGCAGGCATACAAATAAAGTATAGCATTACATGAAATGGAAAGGTAAGAAGAGTGGATACCACATTTTTAAGTTGTATTTAGAAATTTAGAAATCAGCTGAAATGTAGAGAACTTTAAGAACAGTGCAGGAACAATGATGGTCCAAATAAATGTTGGATCCAAGTTTATAGCTGCCAAATTGTTTTCCTTTCCTAAAAGCAATTTGTACATAACAAAATAAATACTTCTAGTAAGTAAGCTAACATTTTACAGTAGGTCAAAAGCTGTTTCTATAGTAGAGGTAACATGTGTTGCTATTCAAGGGCTACACAACATGTCTTGCACTTGCAAACATAATAAAAGGAAGCTAATAAAACTTGAAATGTTCAGTCTACTAGTTAGTAAGATAACAGCTAATCATGTGTTGCTAGCTAAGAGCTACACGACAGGCCTTTTCATTTTTGCTAACCCACACTCTAGAAAATATCCTCTACTTCTAGTTAAAAAAAGCTGACATTTTACAGCTAAAGCAACTTACAGTTTCCAAAGTACTGACATAGCATCATGTGTTGCTAGCTAAGAGCTACACGAGAGGCCTTGCACTTTTGCTAACCTGAACTTCAGATTCAAACTATTCAATATTCATTTTATTTGCAGACAGATCTGTAAGGACTGCAGATGGAAATGAGCTATTAGCTTAAATCTGGCATAAATCCTATCTTCTCTTTTCTGAGATTACAATCCAGTCTCACAGCATTTGTATGCATGGTCCTTGTTTAAATAAATACATAAATTGTAATTGTAAACCCATACAGCTACAAAGCTAGCATATAACCATATTAACAATATGTTGAGCATCATCAATGCAATAAACATCCTGAGAAAACAGCTGACAGCATAGCACAGAGAGCGTTTGTCCTTGGGGAACCAATCTAAATGTGCAGTGTGGACCGTGTTTGGAAACACACCCTTGCTCATATTAATTAGCCCGGCCTCTAAATGTCATCTGAAATGTCACTGCCCTCCTGGAGCAGATCTGTGTTTGTCAGGGCGTCTCGGTCTCACATTGTTCACCGGGAGATTCACAAGAGATATCAAGTTTTAAATGCATTAATAGTTTCGCTTTGTTTGAGGGGAAATGCACACCGGTTAGTTCCTGCAAATGCTTTCAAGTTGATCCCTTTGAATTATTAAGAGACTACGGGGGAGACACACCTTCAAGGAGCCAATTAAGCAACAAATAAATAATAACATGTTGACAGCGTGCACAAATTGTGACACGCCAGTAATGACGAAGTACTTCTAGGAGAAATGAAGAGTTTCTGCAGGAACGTCACTGATATTTTGTTTCAAATGTTTTTATTGAGAAGAAGCATTCAAGTGTGAGCATTAGTTCAGACTTCTTTGGGGTGGAAATCCTGCTTCTCTTTTTCAACATAGAAGACAAACCGAACAGCCAACAGGAAATAATAAAGAAAAAATATAGCAATACAAAACTTAATGACACACATAGTCATAGTGGGAAAGAACATAGCAATTAATAATTAAAAATAAAAACTTCACTGACATTTTAAGTGTTTTTGTTGACTAAATCCTGACATAAAAATGATTATTATGTAGTTTTTAGAAATGGCATTTGACGTGTAGATTACTCCTTATGTTTGAAAACATAATAATAATACATTTCATTTGTATAGCACGCTTTAAGAACAACTTCATCTCAAGGTGCTTCACAATGCTATAATGATAAAACAAATAAAATACAAAGTTATCTAAGGAGCATATTGAATAAAATATGATAATATACATGTTCCTACTCCCCCTTTAGTGTGTGCAGAACTTGCATTAAGTTAATTCATTTCACAAGAACATCTAATGTAGCTCCATACTGCGTCTGCACACGTCACGCACAAAGTTGTTTTACATGCACTACGATACATTGTTGTTCACACGCACTGAATGTCAGACTCAGCGCAAACATAAAATATTTATAGACTGAATTCCTTGTGTTACAGAAAACACTTTTTTAGACTTATATGAATATTCTGGTCTGTGTGGCTTTAACACTTATTATCATGTACATTTATACTATTACTTATTTATACTCATGCATTTAACACACTTTATCATAGATCCCATATTGTATGTATATTTTACACATTACATTGTTATATGTTGTAGTATAATGTACATTGCTTTATGTATTTTTTACTGTACATTTGTATTTCAATATATGTATATTTTCTACTTTTTTAATGCTAATTTATTTCTATTGGAGATGTTTACATTTTGAATTGTTTATTTTTTTTATTGTCTTTTAATTTCTCTAATGTACAATGCCTTGTCTTTTTTAGAACCAGATTTACCTTAAGAGTTAAGTGACGTATTTCTGGTGTCAAGAAATCAACAAACACATGCAAACATTTTGACATTGAAATGCACAAACCTTTAGTGAGTCAGCCTCTTCACAAACAGTAGACACTACAGGTTTTTTTCTGTCCTTTTCTGACCGACAGCAGCAGTCTCATTTAGACATTCAAGTGAGTTTAAAGTGGCCTGGTTAGACATGTCACGTAACTAAAGTGAGTGGAAATGCAGTGATTTCATCTATGGTGACGTTAGATGCACATTTGAGTTCCTGCACACCCACACAGGTGTTTTCTATTGTGGCGTATTTGACCTCTCCTCAGGTGGAAGTCGCAAATAAGTCCTAAGAAGAGACCTGATCATGTAAAGGAAGTTAAAACAGCTGTTAAAAAATAAGCTTTAAAGATTATTTCTGCTTTATGTAGGACTAAACACATCGACACACCTTCTTTACTTTGGTCAGAGTTCAATCTGATTGGAGTTTGACACGTGTTTGGCTCTCCACTTTTTCTAAATGTATAACTAAGGGAAGTAACACTGTGAATATTGGATGCTGTTTGTTAGCATGCTAGCTCCCCTGCTTTTGGCAGTAGGCCTACATTTGATTAGCATTTGTCCTATTGCATTTAACCTGGTCTCCAACAACAAGAAGCAGAAAAGCCCAGAGGATGAGATTTATTTTTACACTTCTGCCCCGTTTCAAATGTTGACAAGGCTGTGACGGGTGACAGACTGGACTCTGTGTGTGTGTGTGTGTGTGTGTGTGTGTGTGTGTGTGTGTGTGTGTGTGTGTGTGTGTGTGTGTGGCTTGGCACCAGGGGTTTAAGTTATCCCCCCAAATGTCACGTCTCACATCTCTCTCTCTCTCACACACACACACACACACACACACACACACACACACACACACACACACACACACACGGAGGCTGAAGCACCGGTCGTGACGTCTGGGTTTTTCTGTGAGCACACACACTCTTAATGTGAGGAAAAATAGATCAAGCATAGCCGTCTCCAGATTACACAA